AAAAAAAAAAAAAAAAAAAAGCTAAACCTGTAATTTCAGGTCAAAAAAATACCGCCCCCTCACCAAACCAACAACTTTCACAATTCTAGAATCCTTTGCTTTCCTAGGTAACTTAATAGTTTAAAATGTATTACTACTTAGCCTTCATATCTCTATAAGGTATTTGAGTAGGGAAGATAATTATGGCTGCGTACGGTGGTTCATACCTCCGTATGAAGCTGAGATGCGAGGATTGCTTGTGTCCAGGTGTTTAAGACCAACCTGGGCAACATAGGAAGAACCCGTATTTACAAATAAATAAGTTAGCCAGGCATGATGATATGCACCTGTAGTTCCAGCTTCTCAGGAGGCTGAGATGGCACGATCATTTGGGCCTGGGAGGTTGAGGCTGCAGTGAGTTGTGTTCATGCCACTGCACTCCAGCCTGGGTGACAGAGTGAGACTCTGTTTTTAAAAAAAAATTATTTATGTTGAAATACTGATTCAATACATTTCTGGCAGAAATTTTGAGCTTTAAATTTTTTCCAAATGAGAGGTTTATGAGCTAAATATTCTACCTTCTCTTTAGCCATTTATCTCTGTGTGAAACTGAACTCAAAAATTAGAGAATGACAAATTTCTAGGTATGACTTGGGTTCACCTAAATATGTGAAGACTGTCACACCTCAGCTGGCATCCTCTTTACAATGGATGTTTTAGTTTGTTGACTAGGAACAGGGCTATAAAATTTGAAATAGACTAGATCATTTTATAAGACTTATGGATCTCTTGATGAAACACTGTAATATCTTTGGATGAAAAAAATCTAGATCTTTATGCTTCTGTCAATCCATAGCAGATTCTGTGTGCTGTGTAGCTCAATCTGATTTATGTGAGTGTATCAGATTAAAAATTATTGTGATTCAGAGAATAATCAATAATCTACTGGTGGAATGTTTAAAAGCTTGATAGCTGTATTAGTCTGTTCTCATGCTGCTGATAAAGACATACCTGAGATTGGGTAATTTATAAAGAAAAGAGATTTGATGGACTCATAGTTCCACATGGCTGGGGAGGCCTCGCAACCATAGTGGAAGGCAAAGGAGAAGCAAAGGCACGTCTTACATGGTGGCTGGCATGAGAGCGTGTGCCAGGGAACTCTCCTTTGTAAAACCATCAGATCTCTTGAGACTTATTCATTACCACAAGAACAACATGGGAAAAGACCTATCCTCATGATTCAATTAATCCCACTGGGTCCCTCCCATGACACGTGAAAATTATGGGAGCTACAATTCAAGTGGAGATTTGAGGCGGGATGCAGCCAAACCATGTCATAGCCTAACAAATGGATTCTAGTTTGACCTGAGTTAATCTGATCACCTTTTAACACCACACAGCTGTTTTTATTGCCTGCGTATAATCCATCCGTATCACTGGAAAAAGATTATCCAAAACTTAGTTTGAGACCTGTACTTTAACTTCCATCATTTGCAAGTATCCTATTTTAGTATTTTCATTTTTCTTAAGAGGCATGTGAATTAGATTTAACTATAGCTTAAGAATTCTTTTGTTTTTATTTTTTAAGGAGTCATTGAAATAATTAAAATATGACATCCACTTGTTTCTTTTCGTTGGAACTTAAGTGAGGCAGCAATGTGAGCATATGTTCAGCAAAACCTGATTTTTTTAAAATAAAGCTTCAACTTGTGTTCTTTTCCATTTGGAATGCAGCAGCCAAAAACTATAAACAGGAAACAGCCTGGAAGGTATCACCTGGACAGCTATGAGCAATCAACACGGCGTCTACGTCCCACAGAAACAGAGGATATTGCCATAAAGGTTATTTTTATTTCCTGGATTCTTACATGAATAGAAACATTTATGTTATTACTTTATGGTGAAGTTCTGCAAGTGTCCTAAATTGTGCCTTTAAATTTGTTTTACTGTTGTCATTAACTGTAATAACATTTAAAAACACATTCTGATGAGTTTTAATTGTCAGTTCTTCCTCATCTCCCAACCACAATTTTTGCTCCAGCAGTACATTTCAATACCCAGAGAATGTGCCTTTCTTCTGAATCTGCTTTAGAAGCTAGTGTCGCATGTATTTTTTTTGGCATTCCTATGTTTATCAACCAAATAAATTGACTTATGGAGAATAAAGTATTATAAATTCAAATTTTAGGAATATAAATTAGATAGTCATTGTTTTTGATCAGGGGAGACTCAGACTAGTGTATGCATTCAACAGTTTCCCGGTACTGCACTTGATCTGATTACAAACTTGGCTGCTTGGACTTGCCCCAGGCATGGGTGCTTAAGTTAAGGTGGAACAGGCAACCAAGAGTTGGGGATAAGCCCCAGGGAGCGGTCAGCATTGTGCAGGAATTGGAGTAGCTGCCGGCAGCAGTCAAGGGCCTCTAGCCATGGGAGCTGCCAGAGTCCTGGAAACTTAGCAAACTGGCTGCACTGGCTACTGCAGGATATCCAAGTCCCCTGCACAGTCTAGGCCAGTAGGAGAGAGGAGGAGTGTCAGTGTGGGGTGCATAACAGCCAAGAGCTATGTTTAGGTCTCTCTCTCCTTGACACCTGACACAATACTTTCCCACAATAGCCACTTCATTATTGGAACAAACGTGATTGAGTGGAACAAGCTAGTGTTAGCCGCCGCCCACCCACCCCCCCCACCCCACCCCCCAGTTTCCACTAATTTGATGCGTGATGTTTGGGCAAATTACTATGCTTCACTGAGTCACGGTTTGCCCATCTTGAGGTGGACATGCCATTTTAGTGTGGTTGTTTGGGGGTTAAAAGGATATGTCACATATGCATTAAAGAGAGCTCTAGTGATTTTTTTTACTTTGGCTCTGCATTAGAATCACCTACAAAGCTGTGTGTGTGTGTGTGTGTGTGTGTGTGTGTGTGTGTGTGTGTGTGTGT